AATTCTTGTTTTATTTTTAGAAGGATTGTGATTAAAGAGCAAACGACCAATGAATTAAAAAAATGATTATTTAATAATATATTGATGAATATATATCTTATAAATATTAGTTTGAATAGATGGATTATAAAAAATTTTTGAAATAAAACCAAAACTAAATTTTTTCAAGTTTAAATAATTCGATATTAATTATTTTTGATCAGAAAAGAATTTGAACCACAAATTTGCAAAAATCATTTAAAAATCTGATTAGATTTAATAAAAAAAATCTTTCTATTAACTGTCTATCCTATTTATCTATAAATCTATTATCTATATATAATATATATGTATATATATAATAAATATATATTTTTGATATTTAAAAACTTCTGTTCCGCCAACATAGAAAAAAGTTCATTTTATTAATTATTATTGCTATATCACTTCGCTAAGTAGACAATCATGGCATTAAAATTACTTTTTAATCCATTTTTAATTGATAAATAACTCATAAAACTATAATTAACAGTATTACGATGCAACATTATCTCATTATTATTCTATGATAAAATAATTTTTTTGGATATATGATATATATATATATATATATATATATATATATATATATATATATACATATCAATTTGAAAAATTTATTTTCTATGAAATCTATCTATCTATCACAGACATTTGGGGTATTCATTTATCCGTCTGGGAGATTCTTTAACATAGATTTGATATATATATATATATATATATATATGTGGCTATATAAATATATATATATAAATATATATATATATATATATATATATATATTATATATTATTTTAATATCAATTAATTGACCTCTTGGACAATAAAATGGTCCATTAAAAAAACAATATTTTCAATTTCTATTCCCATGTTGATTTTTTACTACGTTCATATAGGTCAAGGTTTACATTTCTAAAAACAATCTTTGGAATAAGAATTTTAAACCTTAATCTACCATGAATCTCAGTGACATTCATTTCTGCTCATGCGTATTCAAAATATGTTTAAATATATATATATATATATATATATAACCGAACCTCCTCTGTGTCCGAATATGAATTAAGCAACGTTAGTCTATTTGAAAACAAATATTATGTTGGAGGATAATAATCTAATATGAAAATTTTAATATATATTCAATCAAATTTGTTGTTTAAACTGCTATTTATTTTAAACGGTAGAATTTACTAAAATATTAATTTTATATAACTTTTGTAAAAAAAAATTTTGAATATATAATATATATATATATATATATATATATATATATATATATATAAATAATAGACTTCAAGACTTAGTGGCGATCATAGTTTATATATGCAATCGTCTTGAGCTCAAATATTTCTAGCATACATATATACAATTTTTAATATATTTATATTTATTCTTTTTATTAATTCCTAATCTTTTTTATCAAACGAACCAAAATAAATTTATGACAATAAATATGCACAGTTGACTAATTTCCAGAAATATATATATATATATATATATATATATATATATATATAAATGTTTGAAGATATATTTGTATATTGATTTTTCATGAGTCATGGCGCTTTTTTCATAAGTTTTTCATTTTTTCTTTTTGATACTGTTTTATTATAAAAAAAGATTGAAAACTTAAATATTTGTATCTATAAAAAGAAATTTAAACAAAAAATAGTTTTAATATATATATATATATATATATATATATATATATATATATATAAAAAATTATGAAGAACTTGGTAAGAAGGAATTTGAAGGTAAAGTGTTTGTTAATAAAGGGATTAAAATTTTTCATGAGATATCAATGTAAATCCAGAGCAAATAATATTTTTAAATTTTAAAAACAGACCGTTTTTTTTTAATACCATTATAATAATTTATTTCACCAGATTTATTTTAAAGGACGCCGGATCATCAGATAATTTAAAAAAACGGAAAAAGATTTTAAAAATCAAATGATTAATTAATAATTTTTTATTATAAAAATATTTATATATATATATTTATATATATATATATATATATTTATTTTGTTTATATATAAAATATAAAATTTTCCATGTTTGTTTATTTGATGGGTAGTTTGCGTTAAATTTTGTAGTTATATAAAAAAGAAATTGAATCTTGATGAGTTTAGTTTTGTCGTTATTTATTTTTGTGTGTCAAATATTTAATCATATTTATTTGTTGTTGTTTAATGACGTGATGTCTGTCTGTCTTGAAACTATTGAAACCTTTCTCCGTGAAAGTTTAAATCTCTAATAATTTTCCTGTCAATATTAATAATTTTGTTAAAATAAAAATTATATTCAAAACCTCTTACTTTTTAACTCACAAATTAAGATAAAAAAAAACATATTACTAAGAACAATAAATGAAAATTTATTCAAATATTTTATCCGTTTTTTGGAATTTTGAAATAATTGATTAAAATTTTCTAAATTTGGAGAAAAAAAAAATTTAAAAAAAAAAAAAAAAATCAAATTCAATCATTTCAAAATTACATAATAAAAAAAAGATTTTAAAAACTTTTACTTTTATTTCATATATAAATAATATTAAATTTAAAACCTTTAATAAAAATTTTATCTAAGAAAATAAATGGACGATCTAAAAGGAAAACAAAAATCATACATTGTTCATAAACACCAAAACTACGAAAATCAGTAAAGTTTTTGTCTTTACTTTGGATGGGAACTTACAAACACGGAAGAAGAAAATATAATATTTAATTTTTGGAATATCGAAAGTGGAATGTATTAAATATATAAACGTTTCATATTTATTCGTTATCATTATTTACATTATTCGGACTATTGTTCTCATCTTTGTCGCCATATTTTTATAACGTTTCGGCCGTTTTACGCTCCGGCCTTCTTCAGGTGGTTGGAATGTCGAACTGAACCCTTTATTTCGCTCACTGGGGTAGACTGTTCTAGTTCCACGTGCCATGTTTAATGGAATGTCAGTTATCAGTTATCTCCTGTTAATTTCCCTCTGAAAGTTCTCCAATGCTTTAACCGGGTATTGAACTCACACTCTTTGGGTCCTGTCACTGGATTTAACCAACGACTTTATCCACTGTGCCATGTGTCCTTGAGGACATCTGTGTATGAATTTCTGGGTATTATAAACCTAATGTCTTCAGCAACCATTTTTACCAGTGCTCATATTGCAATTTTTTTGCTGTTATCAATTCATGTTTTTACCAGAGCTCATATTGCAATTTTTGTTGTTATTATCGCTTTTCTCTGGCACTCCTTATTACTGGTTCCCATATTGTATTCATTTCTATGCTTGGTCGGCTCAGGAGATTTTCTGTGGCCTAGCATATGTACTGATTCCTTAAGTTTACGAATTTTCCAATGGTGTTCCTTGTCTATGATCTCAACCTGATCCCACAGAGGGCGGTGATCTCCTTCTCTCTCCATATGTGGTCAGCCACGCCTGTTTTTTTTCCACTTCCCCTCGTGTTACAGTTTTTCTGGTGTTCTTGAAGCCTTACCTTAAAGGGGGCGGCCTGTCTCCTTTATATTTCTTTTTGCAGCTGCACGGGATAGCGTACACACAGTCTTTAGTCATGTTCTCCTCTATGGGGGTCTTACTCGGGAGAGATATCTGCGAAGTGTCGTCAAGCTTTTGAAGGTTGTCCTGATGTTATATGGACCGCAGATCCTTTGTATTTTCTCTGATAACCCCTTCACATAAGGCAGGCAGACTGTTTTCTGAGTGTTGTTGTCCTCCTCCTCTTGTACCCGCCTATCCCAGTTTTTGGGGGCTGCTGCCATGTACCCAGGGTAGTTGTTACGTTGTAGGGTACTACTTATACTGACCAATTCTTTATCTAATGTCTCTGGGTCGCCACTTATGACTTTTGCTCGGTGTTGTAAGCAGCGGACGATCCCTTTCTTTACGCTGTATGGATGGTGGGAGTTGAAATTGAGGTACTGTCCGGTGAATGTCGGTTTACGGTATACGGATGTCTTAAACCCATGCTCTGTTCGAGATATTAGAACATCCAGGAATGGGAGTGTGTTGTTACTCTCTTTCTCCATTGTGAACTGTATCGAAGGTCTTATTGAGTTCACATGGTCCAGTAGAACCTGAACATCTTCCTGGTGTGGCCAGAGTATGAAGGTGTCATCTACGTACCTTAACCATATAGTTGGCTTTAGAGATTCTAATGCCATTTCCTCAAAGTATCACATGTATATATTTGCCATTACTGGTGACAATGGCGAGCCCATTTGCTAAGCCCTCTTCCTGTCGATCTGTGTGTGATCCCATTCCGAAGTGTGTTTTTTTGTATACAGAAAGTCAACATTTCCATCAGATTATCTATTTGAATACTGGTCCGTTCTTCTAGGGATGAGTCAGAGGCCAATCTGTCTCTGACTACTGAGAGTGCCTCCTCCGTGGGTACCTTGATGAACAAACTCACCACGTCCAAGCTCACCCTCTGGTTGGGGAGCATGGGAGTATCTTTGATTATTTCCACGAAGTGGGCGGAGTTTCGGACATATGAAGGAGACTTTCCGATCAATGGGTCAATTATATCTACAAGGAAGGAAGACTCAGAGGGTGGCAACAGAGCCTTGGCAACTAACAATCGGCCTGAACGGAATACCGTCTTTGTGAATCTTAGGGAGACCGTATATGTGAGGTTTTTTGATGTAACTTATATGCGATAAATGCCTATACGTCTTAGGTACGAAGTGATCCTTGTTCTTGATTAGGATCTGTGACAGTTTACGTTCCGTTTTCATAGTAGGATCCTTTTTTACTTTGCTGTAGCTACCATTGCTAATGAGGTCTTCCAGTTTTCTTGTATAATCTGATTTGTCCATCAGCACAGTAGCATTGCCTTTGTCAGCCGGTAAAGATGAGGACAATAGTCCGAATAATGTAAATAGTGTAGACTGAGATAGATAGATAGATAGATAGATAGATAGATAGATAGATATGAACAGATTGATAGCTAG